ACATGTACATAAAATAACCTTCATCTTTTTACCACCAGACTTTCTTGGCCAAATTGTTGTGCACTTTTTTTCTTATAATCTTCAATATTTCTCGAAATGAATCCTAATTTTGGAGCCAACAGACAAAACTTTTTAGTTTAGACAATATTTTAAGTTTTTATTTAAAAAAATTGGCTATTTTTGTCCCAGTCTTCTGTAAAAAAAGTGCAGACTATAAATGCGACCATTTTGTGAATTTGTGATGAAAAGAAGAAACTGGTGGTAAAATGAACTATTCTGTCTCTACAGGGGATCGGTAGTCTTGCGTCACTTGATCTTCTACTGACCTGTGTGGGTCATCATCAGTACGAAGTTGCCGAGATTTGTTTCAATTTTTGGTATCGTTTATCGGAGACGCTCTATAAAGATAATAATGAAGAAATAAACGACTTGTTTAGACCGTATATTCAGAGGTTGATTAACGCGCTGAGTATTCATTGTCAGATGGATTCAGATCATGTAAGTAGTCTAATAAAAACTCATTTTTATTCAAAATTGTACATGCACGATATTTGTATGCATTGCCACAGCATCAGCTGTTATTATTTTTTTTAATATATATTGTTTATTAGTGTATACAGACTCATCTAGATTAAAGAAACTATTTTCATCTCTCACACCAGATTTTTTTTTTTTTATTACGGTTATGTTTATTATTATTATGCATATTAAATTTTACTACACTAGTGTTGTATTATTATTATATTAAAAATGTACCACAGTGATTTAATTCACTACATGTATAATGATTGAACCCTTATCTTGTCAACTGTCTGGATTTCTCAATTAAGCCACCTCCAACAAAGCTTTTTTTTGCTCAGTTTTCAGCTCTGCTGTTCACTTTGTCTAGCGGAGCTTATCAAATAAAAGATTGTCCGTCGTCTGCGTCAACTTTTTTTACTTTTTCAACTTCTTCTTGAAAACTACAAGCCTGATTGCTTTGATACTTGGTGTATATGTACCTTAGATAGACCTCTCTTAGATTTGTTCATTTCATGGGGTGATATTTTCAATTCTCTAATTTTGGTGAATATTTTTGTCATTTTTGGTAAAAATTGATATTTTCGACTTTTTGTTAAAAACGGCAAGTCCGATTGCTTTGATATTAAATATATAGGTACTGCATGTATACCCTTCTCAGATTTGTTCATTTGATGATGATATCTTGAATTCTCTAATTTTAATGATTATTTTTGTCTGTTTTGGTAAAAAGTGATATTTTCGACTTCTTGTTAAAAACCGCAAGTTCTATTGCTTTGATTCAATACGTATTGTTCATTTTTTTTTTTCTTCAGTTCTTTAATTGAAATTTGTACTTCTAACAGCGGAGCTATCTCTGCCATCAGGCTGCTTGTTTTTTCGTCCAATTAATGAAAGGATTACAGTGATCGTTTAAGACATGTACATGGCTCTTCTTATTACAGGAAGGTATTCCGGATGAAAAAGACGACTTTGGTGATTTTAGATTGCGTGTAGCCGAGCTAATCAAAGACGTTGTATTTCTTGTTGGTTCGTCAACATGTTTTAAACAGGTACAAAAACAGTCTTGTTTCAAGCACCAATCTATCAGATGAAGAATTTCATTCCTCAAACATTTTTCTTTGGACTTGAGATTACTAGTTTAATTCTGGGCTTGAAAATTAAGATTGTGTTAGTGTATTTTACAATTGGGATGAATGTGGCATATGAACTATTTGGCAATTGCATCTCTGCGCTATGATGAAGGAATTATAGCTAAAACTATTTTTAATGCAGCGTCCTCTCGCTAAGTCACGCCTCAGTTAGTTGTGACTTCGGCTAAGCTGCTGATGGTTGGATGTCTCTCAAAAATTCTATTGTGTTTTGCCTGCAATTTTGAAGTAGAAGAACTAATATTTTGTCACATCGTGTATTTAATTAGCCGTTAATAAGCTGGAGGTGATAACTTAACACCTACTGGCTGTCAATTACTGAGATGCCAGAGTGTGACTGTGGCCAGACTCAAGGTGTTGGCGAGGGTATGAAGTCGCGATTTATCATATTTCCGGCCGTTATACTTTGATAAAACTCCATAAAATTCGTTGCAATGAGTTGTCCATGCAAACATGGACACTGTGATGTTGTCCAATAAAGAAAACGTACTATACATGTACATAAACCCATATGTGTACATGTACTTACCAATTTTCAATGCATAAGCCCCCTTTCATGCGATTTTTGGATCCCAACACCCACGACTTAGCAAGGGGTCACTGTATATAATACGCACATGCTCATTTAAATATGTTTTTCTGCTAAGAAGACACAGAAGGACAGTCATAACATATCGTTTCCACTTTTTGTAGATGTTTGAAGCACTTTCAGCGCAAGGGGTTAATACCTCATGGAATGTCACAGAAGCCGCACTGTTTGTAATGGCAGCTGTTGCTAAAAATGTGTTACCGTAAGTATCTTTCATACAAGTACGCTGTCGATGAGAGGGAGAATACTACACTATTATTTCCCTAATTATTATTGTGATATTCGTTTGTATGATCGATTGAATATTATTCAATTGTGTTTCAGTGCTTTCTTGAATTTCTTATATTGTTATTGTGTTTATTCAATTCAATCGTCTTTATTACATGTTTAACTCGAAGCCAACTAGCACAAATAACGATAGCAGATGCCATTTCAAATGCTATTCTCTTATTAGCCAATCATAGGTCATAGCACTATGAACCAATCAGCACCAAGGCCGCTAAAATTTGTTACGGAGGCTGATCCTACCAAAGCTATAAAAGGACTGAATACTTGTTCTAGCGTGCGAGTACATGTAACCTTTTCCAGTGAGGAGTAATAAAACCAGTTTATTGATATCGTTTATTTGTTTCCTGAACTTTACGCTTGTTAGAGTTGAGATGAGTGTTTCTCCCACATACACGTACATGTCATCTCATCTTGCCCAACGTCTTCTAAAGTTATTGCGTGATTGTTCTTGTGCCCTTCAAACACTTGTCTGAACTGACCAGCATTTTCTAGTTCTTCAATCAATCCTTTTAATAATGAGCATTTGTCGGCGTTGCTTTGATTTGATTTTGTGTGCTCTCTGGATGACAAGCATCATTCATACATTGTTGTTATTGTTATTGTTGTTGTTGTTGTTGTTTACAGACAGGAGAGTGAAGCTGTCCCTCAAGTTGTAGAAGCTATAATAAATTTACCCAAAGACGCCCATATTGCTGTCAGGTATACCAGTACACAGTTAGTGGGAGAGCTGGGTGAATGGATAGAAGAACACACACAATATTTAGGTAAGAATGTCTGTCCATAGCCGTGTCTCGAAGACATAATCACTTATTTTTTATATGGAAAAGATGTTTTTTTGGTCATCCAAATTTTCCAGCTCACTACTAGTATATTTTCCCTATTAGTAGCCCATGCATTTGTGTAAATGGTAGATGATATGTATTGTAATGCTTACATCGTTCTGATAGATGATTTTTCTGTTCACTCTGAAATCTCACTTAGTGCGAGAAGGCATGGACTGAACATCTGCTGCAAAAACAGAGCAACTCAATTTTGAATTGTGTTTTTATAGCTCAATGTTAAAATGATGATCTTCGATACGGAAATATTGTGTTTGAGATTCTCTTACTTGATCAAAATTGACCATCAAATGTGGTACAGCACATTATATTAAGTGTGTGAGATACACCTAAAAACTACTTTAGACTTGGTGGAATTTTGACATGACGTCACTAAGATGATACATCTGCATAATCTTTATTTGTCCTGTTTTATGTTTTACGTTAATCATAACACAGGATCTCATAGAACGAAAAATGTTTTTTTTTGAAAAAATATGGTACATTTATATTTGCATGCTATTATAAAAATATATGCCATATTACATAACATCGTCGCATGTCTTAATACTTATCTGGTACCTTGATGAAAATCTTGGCTCAATAAATATAAAACCCAGGTGAATGAACCCTAATTTTGGAGCTTGCAAACAAAATTCAATAAAATTTTCAGTTTTTACTCAAAAAATTTGGCTATTTTTGTCTCAATCTTCTGAAGGAAAGTGCAGACAATAAGCAGGACTATTCTGGGTAATGGTGATAGAAAGAGGGAACTGGTGGTGAAAAGGTTAATAGCCAGACTGGGGTTTTTATATTCTACAGTCAGTTTGTGATAATAATATTCGTCTTAACACATTACCTACACAACATTACATATTACCCAGTTGTCAGACTTCAGTAGGCAACTAATACTAAGAATATTTTGTTTGTCATTTCTAGATCCGATTCTCGCCTTTCTAATGCAGAGTTTACAGACTCCGTGCCTAGCGTCGGTCTCGGCGAACTCCATTCAGTGTATATGTAACATACTACGAGATCAGATGGCCGGCCATTTTGATGGTTTGTTACAAATTACGAAAGCTGTTGACTCGTTTAATTTATCAGATGACGCTGCTATTGGACTCATAAAAGGTAGGTACCGTCTCATGTGACTTGTTTGCTACGATATATTGCATAATTTAAAGCTTGGTGGTCGTCGTGCAGCGTGTGTTCGAATTTCATGTAAATAAACAATGTATTTACACGCTTTGTATACGTCGCTATGAGTCCCATATCCAACAGGGCGCGGCGCGATGGCTGCCGCCCTTTAAGTTTGTTTGGTGCATGCTGTCACCAAATGTATAGGTTGTTTCATCGTACTGTAAAATACTTTATTTTCGCTTGGAATTTATTTTTGCTATTTTCGCTGAAGGGATGATTCCGTGAAAATAAAATCCAGTGAATATACTTTTTTTCCTATATTTCACATTAAACTCATTAAAAATCAGTGAAAATAAATTCCAAGCTAAACGTCCAAAAAGCCTTTTCAGCAAAAATTAATTCCAGCGAAAATAAAGTATTCCACAGTATTCATGATTGAACACCAAAAACAGAGTCAACCTCAATCTGTTTGTGTGTGCTTCAGATTCGGTGAAGAGTACAAAACCACTGTACCCTCTGCAAAACAACTGGGTAAGACTCATTCTTTAACAGATGCAATCTGGGGGAAACCTTTAAGGTACATGGATGGATGCTTTGACCCAACTTAGTAGGACGATAACCAACAGCCTTATTTTGTGTAGTCCTATACATTGATTACAGTTTCTATGGCAGTGGTGTTTAATCCTAGCGATTGCAATTTCAACATTAAAAAAAAAAATGGCAGTGATATTCAATATCGTGAATAAATAATCACATCATTCTACTGTAAAATGCTTTAAGGTATAGATGCAGGTTCGTGGGCACTTTAGAGTGAATTTTCTTTTTTTTTGCTTTTTATTATCCAAACAGTCTTGGCTATAGACTGTTAAAATTTCACAGCATTGTGAATAGTACATACTCAAAAGACGATTTTAAAATATACATGGTACAAACATTCTCTCTTGATGACTCTGTATGACGCAGTTTTTCACGATCTTCGGTGAAATGGATCGTGCGAAGTTAGACGACCAGGTTGAAATGGGCCATAATATTTTGCTACACAAAGGCTATTCACAGTTTTTGTACTCAATCGCTCAAACGCCGATGAGAAAAAGTCGAAATGGAAGACAACTATTGTAAATCGAAATAGGTTTCATTCAACTACGAGCAGACGTGATGGGTCGATAAAAGTTAAAACGAATTCTGACCTCTGTGAAAATACCTCATTCATACCTCGCCGAGCACGGCCGTACAACGTACTTTGCGAAATCGCTACAGATGCATGCTAGGGGGTTTCCGATTAAGGTAACCAAGATGGCATCGCAGAGTGCGTGATTTTTCTGCGGTGTTTAAAAACAGCATCTCGTTGCCGATGTTTCTGTAATTTTCGGGGTATTTTTTATTTTTTAAGTAACCGAGCATTTCACGTTTGTGTATTTTGCCACTGAAAAGTTAGTTATTGATGACAGCACAGCAATGGTCTGAATGGTGTTTATCCACTACTACATCGCAATGCTATCAACACGGTGATCGATACAGCGAAACGACAAATGTAAAATTAGTCAGTTTTATAATGCCTTCGGAGAAAAAAATGCGTGAAAAAAAATATTTAACAGTACTCCACTGGAAGCTGCCAGGCTAGAAGTTGTCGACATGTTGCGAGATAAGGGTGAAAAAGTTTACTTATCATTTACAACTGTATGTTTTTTTGTATTCCGCTTGCATGCTGGAAGCGTCTACGTCTTGTCTTCTTTTTTTTTGTAGTTTGCAAGACTAGTTGGTAGCGCTTAAGGTAAGTTAAACAGGATCGCGGACTGGAAGTTACACAATGCCGCACCGTAACTGAGGCCAGCAACTCATTTGCATATAACATCAACAGTGGCTTGTCAATCAAAGAGTAACGTAAATAAACTTTCGGGACTTTTAATCACATACGCGTGCCTCGATTCCCTATATTTTAAAATCCATTTTTGGGCATGTTCCAGCATTGGCAATGCTCCGAAATTTCAACACTATCTAGCCAAGACTGTCTGGGTAAGAAAAGCAAAAAAATTCACTCAGAGTGCCCACGAACATGCATCTATACCTTAATATTTTCAGTGTAAATCCACAAAAATAAAATCAAGGGAAATGCTTTCTGTTATCATTGAATGTAAGGGAGTTTGGTGTTAGTTCTCAGTCTTATCTCTGAGAAGTTTTACAGGTTAGATTTTTGTTCAATTAATAATTTTTCTTATAGGTACATCGATAATTCTTGCCAAATTACCATCAGAGCTGGTGACAGATGGTGTACGTCAGCTTGTTATGGTACAGATACAACCTTTGGGACAGGTAAACTGTAATTCTGCTTGTCAGGCATTATTTGAAACAAATTTGTGCATATTTAATGAGCTCATCTGCATGTAACATCTCTTTTTCATTCATTTGTCTATGTATTTGATGTTTATTGCCATTTGGGATATTTTCAATTATGGAGATTTCTCATCAATAACACCACATATTTCACACAATCTGTATTCTCTGTGAAGCATTTTTCAATATGATTAGTTTTAGATGCATACCATGATGTTGTTTCCTGCATAGCCTTTTCAATTTATAGGACAACTATTTCACTTATGTTACCTCTGTCTGAGTGAACTTATAATATCAAACATTAAATACCTCCTAGTTTAGTTGTGTTTAGCACACACTCGCAATGCATGATGGCATTGTTTTGATAGTGAAGGGGAAAATAACTTACAATACACCCAGTGTTCTCCCCAGAAAAATGTATCAGAGTGGCGGCTAATTTGCATATAATTTACATATCATTAGCATTTGTCTGAAGATAAAGAAAACAATAATGACAGGCTTGCATGGATGAAAATGTGTCTTTATTTTTTAACAAATTTATGTAGAAGATTAAATGAATCTGCTGCTGTGTGATTTCTATGTAATGTTGATTCTTCGGACTTTCATGGAAGCCCAGTGATCTACAGCTTTTGAGAACGCCGTGATTTTTCTTTGCTTCCCACTTCTATTAAATGACATGGCCTTCTTGTGCATCTCCGAGTGTGCGTGTTTATCGATAGCATATTTCGTAATAGTTATACATGGCATAGAATTCCATACCAAAGA